CTATACATGGTACACTTTGGGTTATGATAGATAAACTAATCTTGAAGTGTCACATGTTGTAACGTGGACCTGCTGCACACAACACCCAAGCTGGTCCGAACCCTGTTCAGTAAGATAAGTCCACTGATCATGAACTCAGATAGCACAGCCTTGCCAAATGGTGACAAGTAGTCTTAATGCTTACTCTCCATGTCTATACTTATCTCATTGAAGGCTGGTAAGTTTGGGGACTGGCAGCCCCTTCACCACACGTTGAGTGGCACTTCTCTAGAGTTCTTCATTGCTGAACCAAACTATTATTCTTTCAATCATCCTTTACAGGAGGTTGTGGTTTCTAGATCCTTGGCCATCCTGATTACTCTTCTCTAGAAATTCACACCTTTGTTCATGACCCTTAAAACGTGGCACATAGAAAATCTGCTGTTCCTGATATATGTGACCACCACAGAACACAGTGGGGCTACAACCTTCTGAGTGTTGAGATCCATGCTTCAGGTTATGCATCCCAAAGCTGGTGTCTTACTTTGGTAGCCAGTTTATGTGGCTAACTCACATTGAGCTTAAATCTGCCACAACTCTCAAGGTTATTAATAGGAACTACTGTTAAACCAAATCTATTCCATCCTGCACATGCTATGGTTGATTTTTGAAGTTAGGGTCATTATATTTTAGTTCATGAAATTTCGTCTTATTAACAGTCTATCCTTCAATTCTGTTAAGATCTTTACACATCTCAATATTGCTATTCTTTAGTGACAATATTTAGTTTCGTCTTGCACTTTAAGTTTTATATGGCGTTTTCACATATGATCTCATTTGATTCTGTTGACAAACCGCACTAGTCGTGTAGTGTTACCATTTCCATTTTACAGCTGAGAAAATTGACTCTCAAAAAGGGTGCCTTGCTCGAGATCACTTGGTGAATAACCTTTTGCCATCTTCACATTTTAAAAACATGAGTTCTTCTGGCTCACTCAGGTTATTCTTAAAATGGACAAAACCTTGAGGCATCCTCCAGAGACCTCTCCCTCAGTTGCTTTCAGTTTTTTGATCACACTCCTTGGTGGGGTTGCTCAACCAGTTCCTAACAAAACTCCCTGTAGCATGCAGCACAGTTAGGCATCTTGGCCATGACAATATCATGAGAGCGTCTTAGTTCCCTCGCTGAAATCCAGACTCTCTATATCCATAGTATTTCCATGGTTCGCTGAAACATTGGGACAGGAGAATAAAGTTAGTTTGATGTGTCTTTTTCTCATAAACACATATGACTCCTAGAGATTTCCATTTTGCATTTCTAAATAATCACAAACTATTTGTTTTTAGCCTCAGAAAAACTATCAAACAGATGAAAGCTGATCATCTCTTAAGTAACCAGTACACTTCCACAATTATTGGGGAGTCTGCTATGTGCCTGATAGTCTGCTGGGCCCCAAGTGTATAAAAAGTCTTAAACTCTAGCACAGTGAGTTTTTCATACTGTGGATCATAGCCCATTGCTGGGTGGTCAAATGAATTTGGTGGGTCACCAACAACATTTTTTTTTAAATGAAATAGACTAAACTAGATTATAAAATATCAGAGTACAAACAAGGATAATTATTATAGTATGAATTTTTTTTGCTTTAGTGTAATGTGTATGTGTGCCTTGAGTTGTGATGGAAAATGCATTTCTTATTGTATGTCACTATCAATAGTTTCAAAGGTCCTGCAGTAGTGGGGTAAACAGACACAGAACAATATCAATGCCCTTTGGGACATACTATGATAATTATAGGCACAGGGTACTAAAGGAGAATGGGTATTTTTTCTTTTTTTCTTTGTTGTTGTGTTTTTGTTTTTTATTGCCTTGGTTTTTGTTTGTTTGTTTTGGTTCAAGCAATCTAAATACTGCAAAATTTTCCTGAACTGTGTGCCCTTTTTTCCAGGAGTTTACCACTTTTTCACATGCTTTGGTTGGTTGTAAATACCTTCCTGTTGCCCAAAGCTAGTATAATAAGCTCTTAGAGCCTAGCAGACAGGGGCAGGCTTTCCATTCCCAGCCCACAGTGTCCAGCTTGGCATCTTTTCTTAACCAAAATAAAAGAGCCCTTATCCAACTAGTATGTGGTTTGCTAGCATCAGTAACCGAGTTTGGGCTAGCTTGAGAAAGCTCGTTGGAGCCAACCCTAAATATTGTAGTTTTTATTTTAAAATGTCTATATTTTCTTTAAAAGCATATCCTTCTTTTGCCTTCTCAAAAACTATTTGCTAAAAGGGTTTTTGAGAATGCTTACTATCAACTTCTCCTCATTTCCTGAAATGTGATAGGAAAATCCAGAAAGCTTGACCTTCACCCTGTCACGGTGCCTGATATATAAATGCCCTTCAGATGTAAGATTTTATTGTATCAATCACAGGGAAAGAGAAAGTAGAAAATGCTACAAAGAAAGTATAATTTTGCATCATTATCTCAGTCTTGCCTTTTTTCCACATGTACAACTTTCGTAACTCTTTTGCCAAAGCTTATACAACTTTTTTAAAACTCAAAGCTAATCTCCCACTGTGATCCCAAAGCTATGGAATTCTCTGTTAGCACTATGGTTTTGTACTTTCTTCCACCTTATACTTGAATTTTCAAATTTGTCATTTAGTCCAATCGTAAGAATCTAGATTTTCAAGAAATAAATAAGAATGGGGAGATCCTAACATTTTTTGACTGAGCATCTGATTACTTTTCCTTGAAAACAGAATATATTGCAAAGTTAAGGGGAGTTAAGGTGGATGTTAGGGATGTAAAAAGATAAGCAATCTGGGGCTGGCCCCATAACTGAGTGGTTAGGTTCATGCTCTCCACTTCAGGGGCCCAGGGTGTCACCAGTTCGGATCCTGGGCACGGACATGGCACTGTTCATCAGACCATGCTGAGGCGGCATCCCACATGCTACAACTAGAAGGACCCACAACTAGAATATACAACTATGTACTGGGGGACTTTGGGGAGAAGAAAAAGCAATGATTGGCAACAGATGTTAGCTCGGGTGCCAATCTTAAAAAAAAAGATAAGCGATCTATCTTAGATCAATAGGCAATAGATAAGCAATTGAACAGACATTGGAAAATAATAAACGTATAGCCCTCAATGAGGGACTACTCAATGCATTATTTCATTTAATCCCTCTGGCAAATCTATGAGACAGAGGCTATTTTTAGTTCGATTTTACAAGTGATAGAAACTTACTTTGGAGAGAGTAAGCCATACATACAATCATGTAAGCTCTTAACTGGTACTAGGAGCACGTGGAACCAGGTCTTAGAACAGGATGCCAAAACAAAATATAATAAACTTGATTCAATTAACAAAAAAATATGGAGGACTTACCATGTCCTTGGGATTGGGGAGGATATAAATATGAATAAAACACAGGTCCTGCTCCTGATAAGCTTACCTATAACGATTGAGAGTGGGCACGTGTGACATGAGCTGAAGTTGTCATTAAAATAAGTGCTACAATGAAGATCTAATCCAAATGAGGAGGAGCACAGGGGAGAGAGTGGTCACTGCCTTGGAGCAGTCAGGGAAGGTTTCAAAGAGAATGGACATGTGAGCTGAACGCCCAGGAAGGGTCCGGGACCAGGGAAGGACGTTCTCAGCAGCGGAGATCATGTCTACGCTTGTAGGCTCTTAATGCTGAAACAGAGCTGGCTGTTGGGGATGGTGTGGGCCAGGGAGCAGAATGCAGGGAAATTAGGAGGAATAGTTGAAATGAGGCAAGAAAAGTACACTGCAGTCAGGTTGGAAGGGCTTTGAATGCCGTACTAAAGACTGTTAGGAAGGCCAAAGGGAAGCTGAAGGCTTTTAAACTGGGAAATTATATGATCACATTTGGATTACCCTGTGGAAAGCTGTTTAGATGGGGAAAACGATGGAGACAAGGATTCCAGCCAGGGTTTTACTGTCACAGACCCAGACAGAGGTGTCAAGGGCCTACACAAAGGGAATGGGAGTGAAGATACGAATGAGGGAACAGATTTGAAAATCATTTCGGAGTTGCGTCTTAGTAATATGAAAAGTGAGGAGGAGGAAGGGGCTGATGATTCACTCCATCTTGGAAGAAAATTATTATTTCTCTGCTCTAGGTCAAGGTCTGTACGGGGCCGGAGGGATTTGCAAAGATAAACAAGGCCATCTCTGGCCTCAGGGAGCCCAGATTCTCATCTCTTAGGGGCTGCAAATTCAGGCAGAACCCAGACAGATAAGATAAATGTGGGGGAGGGCAGAGTGTAAGACCAGGCAAAGCAGCGGGGGCCACGGCAGCCTGGAGATGCATGTCCTGCCAAAGGCGTTAGGATTCAGTTGATTAAAAACAAGAAGGCTGGCCAGGGGAGCAGGCTGGATTGGACTCCTCTCAACTAGTGATCTTTAGAATGGCTCTCAAGTTTCTACTTACAGGAATTCAGTAGATAATTTTGCTGTTAACTTATCCAGGGAATATATGATAAGAATCCTATATTTGGGAGACTCAGGTAAGGAGGGTTAGCTTTGAGAGGTCTTGACTTTGAGTTTCAGAAAAGGGAGGCTGGAAATACAGTCCTGGGGCTCAGCGAAGAGGTTTCAGGAAAGAAGTTAAGTGCCTGTTACGGCAGGGTTATGTTTCCATGCGAAAAAGAGAACTGCAGGTGTTTCGTATTTAGACTGTCTAGTCAGATGGTAATTACGCCCTCTTTGTAATCAGTCAAGGAAAACTCAGAGAAGAAGGAAGGATTCAGAAACTATGAAAATTGAAAGGAAGACAGCTTGGCAGGTTGAGAAGAGATCCTCTAGCCACTAGGGAGGAACAGGGCGTCCAGGACATGAAAGATGGAGGAAGGACGGAGTAAAGGCGCCCAAGAAACCCAAGAGGGCAGCCTGAAAGGGAGGAAGGAAGGGAAAGGAGCGGGGAGTACCTCCCTGTGCTCACCTAGACGTCCTGGTTCATCCAAGACCCCCATAAGTGAGCATTGTCCTTGATGTTTTCCAGGCTGACGACTCAGATGAGGAAGATCTGTGTATCAGTAACAAATGGACTTTCCAAAGAACCAGCCGCCGATGGTCTCGCGTGGACGACCTCCACACGCTGTTTCCCGGAGGAGACAGAAATGGGTCCTCAGGAGACTTTAGGATGAGAAACACGACCAGCAGTGAAAGTGTCCTCACAGACCTGAGCGAGCCGGAGGTCTGCTCCATTCACAGCGAGAGCAGCGGCGGCAGCGACGGCCGCGGCCCCCCGGGCAGCCAGAGCGCCGGGCGCGAGGCCTTCGACGGCCCCGGGCACTGCTGCGCGGAAGGGCCCGGCATGCTGGACGCCACGGTGGTCAGCGGCAGCCTCCCGCAGCCCCCTAAGGACGTTCCCAACTACCCTTTCCAGCCAAAGAATGAGAAACCCACTAGGACCAGAGCCAAGTCATTTTTGAAACGCATGGAAACCCTGCGAGGGAAGGGAGCACACGGAAGGCATAAGGGATCGGGGCGGACTGGAGGCTTGGTGATCAGCGGGCCGGTGCTGCAACAGGAGCCAGAGTCTTTTAAGGCCATGCAGTGCATCCAGATCCCAAATGGAGATCTCCAGAACTCGCCCACAGCTGCCTGCAGAAAAGGGCTACCGTGCCCAGGCAAATGGAGCGGGGAAAGCAGCCAATCAGAAAACAGCAGCAGTGGGGTGAGCACGCCTGGCCTGAAGGAACGGAAATGCCAGGAGGCCAACAAGCGCGGGGGCATGTACTTAGAAGACCTGGATGTGCTGGCGGGGACAGCACTGCGGGACGCGGGCGACCAAAACCACACACATGAGTTCCATTCCCAAGAGAACTTGGTAGTGCATATTCCCAAGGATCACAAACCAGGAACGTTCCCCAAGGCGCTCTCTATCGAAAGCCTCTCGCCCACAGACAATAGCAATGGGGTTAACTGGAGGACCGGTAGCATCTCCCTGGGCAGACAGCAGGGCCCTGGTGCCAGGGAGCCCAGGCTCATGGCGTCCTGCCACAGAGCAAGTCGGGTCAGTATCTATGACAACGTCCCAGGCTCCCATTTGTACGCCAGCACGGGAGATCTTCTGGACTTGGAGAAAGACGATCTCTTCCCTCACTTAGATGACATTCTGCACCATGTCAATGGGCTCCAAGAGGTAGTGGATGACTGGTCGAAAAACATCTTGCCTGAACTGCAAACACATGATGCCTTGGTTGGGGAACCTGGTTTATGCCCCTTCCCGTCTCCTAACCAGATCACCTTAGATTTCGAAGGCAACTCTGTGTCCGAGGGTCGGACAACACCCAGTGATGTGGAAAGAGATGGGACATCTCTTAATGAATCGGAGGCCACTGGGGTCAGAGAAAGGAGAGATTCTGGTGTAGGGGCCTCTCTGACCAGGCCAAACAGGTTGGTGGCATGATTTCGTGAAATGATTTTTAATCCATTTCATAAAAATTATGGTCTATTTATTTGGCAAACATTTATAGAGCATTTACTAAATGCCGGACACTGCTCTAAGTGATACCTGTGGTTAGGAATTATTTGAACAGAAGTGTGTCTTTTGGACGGATATTATGGTGACCGAATCCATGTTAACACACGTTCATTTCTCTGAGTGTTTACCGGTTATTCAATCTGAGTTTTATTCCAAAAACTTTTTTGAGCTTATGTGCAAAGCACTACACTAGACACCATGGGAATCACTGATAACATGATTATAACCCTAACCCTAACCCGGTGCCTGTGCACAGGCACTCCCCACGTCCTTGCAACAGTTTAATTAAAACGTCCCCACCTCAAATTTTAAACGTCTTTTTAATCCTATAAGAAATTTCTGAGGTCTAAGATGTGTACTTCATACTTCTATTTTTGGCTTTCAAATGCCAGTTACAAAGTACATCCAAGCTGTTTTACCAAGACCATTTCAGAAGCACCCTAGGAAAACTGCTCTAGAAGGACCTCCCTGGTAGAAACCATAATACCATGTGTGCTGCTGTGTTTCCGGTTGAGGCAGTGATGTCCCTCGGGGCTCAGTGATGTGTCGTCACTTCAGGAGGGCCTCATCTGTGCCTGTCACCTTCAGGCTCCATCTCAACACCCAACAAGAGATGGGACGGCAATGTGAAAATATTCTACGGCTCCCAAACATTTGAGATCTCTCTCTCTGTCTCTGTCTCTGTCTGTCTGTCTTTGTCTGTACGTCTGTCCATCTATTCGTCTGTTTCTGTCTCTTTCTCACATACACACACACACACACACACACTGTCTCAGCTGCTTTCAACACTTTGGGAACAAATTTAGGAATTAACAAACAAATAACATTTATTATATCACTTATTGAAACCTCCTAATGAAACAGATAATGACTTTTTTCCAGATTTATTAGACTTTGAAAACAGTTTTTTATGTTTATTCTGTCCATTTGTGTCTTCTATTCCATTTGCTTTGTGATTTCCTTGGCTCGGAAACTATTTTGATTAGCTCCTTAAAAATTAGTAACATCCTGTGTTTTCTGATAACACGTCCACTTTGTGACTGGCTTCCCTGATGGGCTTTCTCTAAAGGCGACTCCGATGGAACAGTTTCCAGCTCTCGCATCAGCCTCAGCCGTCCACAGCGTCGCCCCACATCAGCAACCAGACGGCCGGCCAGCTGAACCTGCTCCAGCGCTTCTCGCTGCTTCGCCTCACGGCCATCATGGAGAAGTACTCCATGTCCAACAAACACGGCTGGACATGGTGCGTAGCGGGTTCACTCGAGGGGGGGATCATTTGTTCTAGAGCTAAGTATGCAATTGCAAAAGCTTCGCTATTTACTTTCTGATTTCTGAAGAATCTCTTCATTGCCTTCACTGCCAATCTCCTGGAAATAATGCCCCGACTTCTGCCTTGTGTCTGCCTCCTGGGCTGCCACAGCTTGGACATGATGTAGCCTCAGGAAGCATTACTTTGTTTGTAGCTCTCTGTCGGTTTCCAGGGAAGGCAGGCAGGCTCCAAGAAGGAAAAAGGACAAGGAAAGGGTGATTAATTGTGAACAGAGGAATTAAAAATAAACTTGCCATTAAATAATTCTGGCAGTTTGCAGAGAAACATCTGTCACTTGTACCTTGTGGCCCAATGCAGTGCCCAACACGTAGAGCATTGATTCTTTCAAAGAGCATTTAATTCTTCAAGTACATTTCTGCTTTTATTTCATTGGCAAATAAAAACAAGAATAGGCAGTAAACCTTTGTAATGAGGAATTGACAAAAGCATACGTTGGAACTTGAGTGTGGACCTACTTTAGATGATGCAGTGGATTGGAAAAAATATAAAATGTGTGACTAATTGTCCTACTTTATATATTATGTACATAGAAGAATCGGCAGTGCTTTAGAAAGTTATAAATTGCGTGGTCAAATCAATATATGCTTGTGTATTAAAATTTCCTTTTAAAAGTACAACTGGTTCTAGAAAAGTGAGGACATAGTCAAGACATGTGTTTTGTCTTCTCTCTCCTCCTTTCTCTCTCAACCCCGACTAAATTTCTTCTTTTTGTTGTAGTTTTAAAGGTTTTTTGTTTTGTCTTGTTGGAGACTTTTAAGTGTTTGTCATTTGAGAGGTGTGTCAGTCACCATTAAATTGGAAAGTCGAACACTTGACTTGAAAACAGAGCCATAAATCCATTCTGCTAACGTGAATCATGCTGTTTAATAGTTAGAGGTCTAACATGGGCACGGGGCAGGCATGGCACTTCCATGTAATGGGATGAATTCAGAGAGAAATGTTGAATTTCCCCTGTGCCTGTTGGGAATTCCAACAACAGCTTGGCTTCCCTCTTGCTTGCCTTCACAGCCTCTCCCCACAGTGTGCCCCAGGAGGCTTCCATGACCTGGTTTCTGTGAATTCTAGGTCAGTTCCAAAGTTCATGAAGAGGATGAAAGTTCCTGATTACAAAGACAAGACCGTCTTTGGTGTTCCTCTCATAGTTCACGTCCAGAGAACGGGACAGCCTCTGCCTCAGAGTATTCAGCAAGCACTGAGATACCTGCGCAGCAACTGCCTCGATCAGGTAAGGTCGTAAATCTCAAACACGGGCCTGGATTTATGGAATGCCAGACAGAGTCAGATCCGTCCATTGTCAGACAAGACATGCCTCCCCAAAAACAATGGCATTGTGATCTTTATATGTCAATATTTAATTTGACCAGGCTGCAGCTTTGTCAAGCTTTTGAGCACGTTTCCTCGTTCACAACTTGAATGACACCCTGGAGTGACTGCAGAAGGTTAATTGCACCTGTGATGTCTAATTTGTGTTCCCTAGAAACTGAGAGTTAAGCTACACTCCATTTCCTTTTCAATTATTGTCCCAATGCCACCATAGATTTCATAGCATTCTTTTATCCCTGTTTTATGATTTTTTTGAAAAAAGAATTAGGTTTTTATATCTCCCTTTATTAATTTTTTTTGAAGCAGCACCACGATCAGGAAAACTTAAAGACAAAGTTACTTACATCTTTTTAAAATATGCAAGTAAAATATGAAAATAATATCAGCTAAATCAAATATCCCCTCATCTCGTAGAGTTGATTAAAAAGCTCACGCTAAACAAAATATTCAGAGATTATCTCTGTCTCCAGGACTGTTTGGGGTCCACTACAACCGGGGACTATGATTGGGCCCAGCGTGCAACCCCCCCATAACTTACGAGGCCAAGCCTTTGCCCCCCCCCCCAAATTAACACACATTAGTTTCTTAGATATTCTGTCTGAAATAAAAGCCATGTGCCCACTTGATAAATTGCAACCTAGGCAGTGGAGGCATTTTTAGACACCTATTCTATAATGGCTTTTGTTCATCACACTCTTAATACCATGTGAAGGATCCATGCCAACTTAAGATTACTTGCACTTTTTATTAATATACCCTTGGCCTTAAGCTCGGTGGACAGGAATGAGCTGAGCTACATGAACTCAAACATCCTGGCTCCTGATGCTCGTATCCAACCCTACCCCAGTACTGAGATCACACTTAGAATCAGGATAGCCTCTGGATGGATCAGATGCCAGTTTTTGGTGGAGCAGACTAGGAGTAACTTCTTCATTTGATGCCATCTTCGATTGAACTAAATGCATGATCCCCTTTTCCCTTCCCACTCCTGATTTAGAGACTATACAAATATACATTTTTCCATATTCAGATGTCATAGTGGAGGGCAGGAGTGTTTGCTGTTATTATTGTGGTAGTGATGGCTATTTTGTTTTGAGAAATGGCCTTGGTAGCTTGCCTGCAGTTTCTCAGGAAGAAGGGCAACAGACCATTTGTCTAGAACTACAGTGCTCATCTTTGGCAGATCCCTCAACATTATTGACTTGTGAATAACATCCCAATAGAGCAAACCAATGAATCTAGTTATTTAACCATTAAATTTTTACTATTTTCTTTTTAATTTTAGAGCTTTTACCAAAGCACACATTAATCAAAAGTAGATGATCTGTGGATATTTTACTGAGAAAACTTTTTGGAGAGGTAGCCTCAAGTGAATATTTGGAAATACCCAATCTAATGTCTTTTGCAACCCTAAGCTACTGCAACCAGGCCCTTTGGCATAGGACTTGGTGGCCTCAATTGTATTTTTGTTGGTTTGGTAGTACAGACCCAAGATTGTGTTTTGTGGCAGGTAGCCTTTTATTCAGACACATTTTTCCAAGCTTCTCAGTTTTATAAGGGTATATAAGACTCATCCCCTCTCTTGGCTGATTCTCTTAGTCTTTGCCTCTGCCTTTTACCTAGCACAGAAAATATTTTGTTCCAAACATTCTAATGAATAGCCAGCTAATGCTTATCAGCAAAAGCTCTATTAAGAGAAAACAGTGTTCTTTCAAAAACGCCTAAAAGAAATGCAGCCCATCTGTGTCATTAGTTCAATAATAATAACCTTTCTTGAGTGCCCAGCATGTTTCAGGGGTCATACTAAGTGTACTGCGCTCATTACCTCATTTAATCCCACATCCACCCAGGGAGTGTTATCCCCCAGTTGGCAATGGTGGAGCCAACACTTACTTGAAAATCTGTCTGACTCCAGATCCAAGTTTTTAATCACTGCACTCTACCATCACCTGTTAGAACTGTTTGTCCCCAGTGGACTCTGGGGTGATGCCATCTCCAGCATTGGGGGACACATTGAGAAGTGGCCCTAAATAACTCATTGATGCATTCGCTGTCAGGGTTTTGTTGATGATGTTGATCATTACATCATGTAATGTCCTTTCTGTGAGAATGAAAGAATTTTTCTCTGGCCCCAGCACCTGAAAGCATTGTGTTGCTTTTGAACAACTGGTCTGTTTTTTATATTAAGTATACCAGACTCATTCAACTGGATATGTTTTCCTCTATATATTGGCTGCTAGAAATATTGGAGCCAGGAGTAAATATATGTAATTTTTAGGCATGAATTTTGTGTATCAACATCATTCCTGGTTTCAGCTACCCTTTTCTATCTTTATTTTCCTTTTGCTCTAATTTTCTCATCTACTGTCTTTAATTGTATTTTATAGATTGTAGTAGGTCACCTTGAATTTTTTCTTGAACAAAGCTGAGTATAAATAAGTGAATTGTAATACCACTACTCTACCTACCACACAGTCTTTAGTGTAGGATGCAAACCAATCATGCCTCCTATAGATTCTGAATAACAGGTAGCATCAATATCACTACTGTCATTGGGTCCAGTCTCCTGTTTGAAGCAGAAGTCCTATGAATAGAGAGAAGGATAGTGGGCACCAAAATCTCCTCCATCCCTGCTCGCAGGCTTATTTCCAGTCTCCATATCAAGCCTATAACTATTTTTTAAGTCTGGAAGAATACCACCCTGAAAAATAGTATGCTGGCAAAGTTTTGTAGGAAAAAGACTCATCTCATGGACATAAATACTGATTCTGAATGTAACCAAAATGAACAAGGCAACCTACCTCTTAACTGTTAAGTCAAGAGTAAGAATCTGTAAGATGTCAAAGGGACTTTCACCATAGCCAGTTACCACCTTATGCAGCACTCAGCACGGCAGGGTTTCCCGCCTTGTGTGTCCCTCCCCTTTGTCATCACAGGGTGTGGAAAGCACACCAAGGCCACCCCTCTGGTCCCTGTGAAGAAGGAAGGTGATAATAGGAAGGGCACAAGGGAGAACTAGAGAAACATAATGAGGCATCAAAGAAAACCGGGCTGAGAAGGAAGACTTTCCTAGAGATTCAAGAGGGAACACAAGCAAATAAAAGAGAATGACTCAGAAAAGAAAGAGGGGACTGGAGTAACAAGGAAGGGGCTGACCTAACAGTAGACAAATGTTCTTTCTTCACCAACACCACCTCCTTTGAATTGAAAAGATTCAGGTCTGCACAGGGTCTTGAGATCTCAGTCCCAGGGTCACAGAAGACCAGAAGGTCTCCGAACATCCTTCCTCGAAACCACACTTGTCTGGCTGCTCTGCTGCCTCCCTTCGTAGTCCCCTTGACCTCCCATCCAAGACTGTCCCAAGGCTTTGCCCTTGATCTCAGAGAGGGGGCTTCCTGCAGTGAGCCGGGCCCCTCCCCTCATGCTCAGCATTCATCTCAAACAGAAGCCTTCATCACGAATGGTTGAAAACAGCCCCACAGAGCCCTGAAACATTGCCAACATTTCGCCTCCTACGCTCCCCAGTGCAGAACAGTTTATATATGATGAAACACAGTGTATCCATTTTCACCCTTACGGCTGGCTGTGGATGAAATAGGGAAGTTTAGCCTTCAATTGTGAACCATTTGTATTCAGACAAAGCAGTGTGTGAGAGGAGCCCTGCTTTGTTGGCTGAGCTTTTATTTCTGCCCTAAATCAACTGTGCACAGAAGGATAAGTTATACCAGCTCATGATGACTATGAAGTCACTGCAGTGAGAGGCTAACCCTGCCGTGCTCGAAATAAGAACCCGCTGTACACTGTTCTTAGGAACCTTTCTCATTCTGCATAAAACCAACCTTTCTTCATTAGCTGAGCACATTTCTAAAGAAGAGGAAATGGAAGTCCTGATAAACATCATTAAGTACCGAAAGGATTAGCATAAACAGGATGCCAAGTAGGAGATTTAATATTATTTAGATGAAATTTGAATTCTAATGCAGCTCTCATGCCCAACCTCTCCTTCTAATGGAGGAGTAAGTTTTAAAAGCCCAATTATACTGCAAAGACACTTCATACTCAGTACAAGTGTCCTCTGCCCGCCGCCTGTTCATCACTTTCCCCGTTGCCAGCCTCAGACAAGATGAGCAATGCTCTGGAGCCTCTCTTTTTAAATTATACCTTGAGTCCTGGCTTTTTCATAGCCGGGTTTTTAGGTGGAAGACAAAAGAGAGAGGAAAGTAAAACTAGACCAAAGGAACACTCGTCAATCATCCTTTTACCTTTAAGATGAGCGATCATATGCAGGAGAAATGCTTATAAAATGAATTTTGCATGGCTGACCACATTCTTCCCTTTTTAGAGAGGGTGTTTGAGCTGTGCTTTCAAAGTACATAAGAACAGCGCCTGTTATGTAATTTGTGGGGCCTCCTGCAAAGTGAAAATGCAAGATGTCTTGTTTCTAAATTATTAAGAATTTCAAAACGGTGACTGCAGAGCATTAAACTAAGTGTGGGTCCCTCATGACTACCCAGGTCGCCCACTAACCAGTGAGAGACACAGAAGCAAATGGAAGACATTTTATGCTCCCTGGGTCTTTCTCATAATGAGGCTGAGGGATCTGGGGCAGCCTCCCGTCAGCTATGATGACAACGGTGCCCTTAGAAGCAACAGATTTTTAAAATGGTTTCTTCTGTTCTCCATTTTTAACTTGGAAAAAAATTTTAGCCCAAAATGCAGATTTTATCACTGCTTTGAGACCTTTTCTAAGAAGAAATGATTGGCAGTCGCTCCTGCCGCCGCTCATGATTGTTCTATGCAAATCAGTAGGAGAAGCTCTTCTCTCTGGTCTCAGGACCTCTGCTCTGTTAGAAGAAGCTTCTACTTACGGTGCCCACGGAGTTTTCCACTGCAGGTAACAGAAGCCCCATCCGAAAATGGCTTAAACAATAGGAAATTCATGTGCTCACGTGACAAGAAGTCAGGAAGTCAGGCAGTCCGAGGTCAGTTCTTTTATCAGCAGCATGACATTTTTGAAGACTGGGGTTCTTGCCATCTTTCCCTTCTGCCATCTTCAGCTGCTCCATCTGGAATCCAGTCTGATTTCAAAACACCTTTTCTTTATTAGGTTTAGGAAAGAAATTTCCTTCTGTGCTTCCAACAAAAATCCACAGAACCCACAGAAATTTCCCACGTCCCTTGGAAGATAAGGGTGGGATGGGAAGGTTATTGTCAGAATTTGAGGCAGAACAAATAAATACCTGACAACCCTCTGGATATCCTGTGAGATCTAAGTCAGAACAAGCAGCTCAGAGCCCGCAGCTGGAGAGCTCCAGACATGTCTAAAATAATTAAAATAACAATATTTGCTCAAACTAGAAAGAAACTTGGAAATCGAACAGTACAAAGAAAACAGCACTGGGATGTGTGTGTACATGCACATCAAGCGCACCCAGAAACGACGCACGCAAGACACGGTGGACAGAAGAGGAGCCACCCTTTGCAGTATACACACAAACACTTGTCTGCTCTATTCTTTTTACAGATCTCTATCAATATTTCTCTGCTATTAAGAAAATAATAACAGTAATTCTCAAACAGCATAATACCAACTCACAGGAGGATAAATGTTTAAAATTCACCTTTGAGGCACTTGGATTCTGAGGACTCCTGTGCAGCACAGCTGTGTGGCACAGTCCTGGGCCTCCTTCTAGAATTAGAAGAGTTGAGATGTAAACAAATGAAGGATGGATCTCACGTTAATAGTCACTCGTTTACCATCTTGAATTTTTCTTCTGACAGGACATGCTTTCTTCTCATGCACTTTGATGAAATTTGGAGAAGCTGCCAGAAGAAGATAAATGTTCTTTAGGTTCTTCTTGGAGAGTCATCTAAGTATGGCAAAGTTTTGCATTTTCTCGACATTCCAAGCAAGAATAAAAAGAAAGCAATTAACGTTTTAAGTGGCAATATGTCTGAAAATCCTGATCTGTGGATGCCTTGGAATGCAAAGAAGTATTACTAAGAGTTCTGTTTTTATTGCCACAAAAAGTAGCAATGTATAATTTCCCCTGCGATCCATTCAGCTGACATACACAAAAACCTGAGTATTCTCTAATTGCTTGGAATTCTTCCCTTGCTGTTACTGCAGTTTAGAAGAATTAGGGCTGCTCTCCATTTATAGCCACAGCCAAGAAAGTTCTCCTCAGACACCTGAACTTGGGTCGAGGCCGGCCTGGCACTCAGGGCAGCCGATGGGACGACCTGGCCATTTCTCCAGGTATAGAGAGGAGGAGCGGAGGCTGACTCCGGTGGCCTCTGCATACCTGAATGACCACTTGGGACTGTTTTCCCACCTTGCTTCGTGGAAGTGGGAAAACCCATGAGCCCTTGGGGGGCGAGAAAAGTGGAGACTGAGGGTTGAAGGACCAGTTTTGAGCAACCCGATGCCCTTCAGGCATTTAACAATAGCAGACATGCTAATTCACTATAAGCCAGGGCTCCCAGAGCAGCTCAGCTCTTTTTTTGGGGGAGGCAGGTCCAGAGTGTGGAAAGCCTCAGGAGGGCCTGGAGTGTGACCTGCCAACCTTGCAGGAATCTCCATTCTCACAGGGCCCTGCTCCACCACACTCATTCCTTTTAGGGGCGTTTTCTCCTTGGTGCCTATTGCTCCGTTGATTGTCAAGCAGAGGAGGAATCTCAGCCCTAGGGATGAAAAAGCCATGAGAAGTCTTGAAGTCTGAAGAAAAGCCACTCAAGAATGATTCCCACTAGAACCATAGCTTATGCACGTAGTAACTAACCAGGTAGTAAGTGCCAGGCATCGTATGAGAAGCGTACATAGCGAGTGCTACAAGGATTCCAAAGAAGGAATAGCAAATAAGACCCTGAAATCAAAATACATGCTTATAATTTTATTTTGTTTCATGAGCATAGTCCCTATAAACCTCTCCCTCAAAGGGGCACTGGATATGGTTGCTTATCTAGGATCCATCAAGCCGTCCATTGACAGAACTTTCTCAAAAGCCCCATTAAAGTGTAAACACTGAAGGGCAGAGAATTTTGTCTGGTCTACTCACTAATGACTTCTAGCAAGTATAAGTACGCCTGATATATAGTGGCTATTTAATCACTGCTTGTCGAACAGTCACACAACACTTAACTATGCGGACGCATTCTGAGAAGTACGTCATAAGGGGAGTTTGTCGTTGTGAGAACATCATGGAGTGCACTTACCAACCTAGATGGTATAGCCTACTACACGCCTACACTCTATGGGACTAATCTTATGGGACCACTGCCGTATATGTTGTCCGTCATCAACCACAACTTCATTTTGCAGCACATGACTGTAATTGAATAGAATAATAACGCTACCATGTTATACCTCACAGGTTACAAAGCGCAGTCACATATATTTTCTCGTTTAGTCTCCACAATGGGCTTGTGAGGTGGGGTATTATTCTTATTTTCATTTTATGGTAGAGGAAGTCAGCGTTCAGCTACTGCCTAAGGTCGCTAAACCAGTCATTTCCAATTTACTAGTTTGGATGCAATTGCTGCTCATCCAGCCCTGGTCCCATGCCTTCTCATCACTGCCAAGGTGCTAGCCCTAGGAAGAAAATGTCTGGAGCAAAGGTGGCCTCACTCACACAGCCCTGTGACTTGTTTCAGGTGGGTCTTTTTCGAAAATCGGGTGTGAAATCTCGAATCCAGGCCTTACGCCAAATGAACGAGAACTTCCCTGAGAACGTCAGCTATGAGGACCAATCCGCTTATGACGTGGCGGATATGGTGAAACAGTTCTTCCGGGACCTCCCTGAGCCTCTCTTCACCAACAAGCTCAGCGAGACCTTCCTCCACATCTATCAGTGTAAGTGGAAATAATGCAGATCCGTGTTCTCATATGTACCTGTCCACTTAAAAAACAATTCTGTAACTTGAGTTTTAATTATACAAGTAATACGTGAATCCATAAAGACGTATATAAAAGTTATCATTCTACACTCTTCTCCAGAAGTAAACTTTGTTCAGGGTTTGATATGGAAATCTCCAGGCCATAGTTTATGCATTTGAAAATACCTTTTTGACATCAAAAATTTCCATCTCAATAGGATTTTGTATAAGATCTAAAACTTTCTATGTACTTTTAATAAATTTAAAATGAAAAGGGGACACAGTAGAATTTATTTTGTTTATGGATATTTTGAAAAAGTAAGCATTTCCTTGGGATATGTGAAATTCAAGCCAAATGCATTAAAATGACCAGAAATAAAAGGCAAATGTATTTTAATACCATGTATTTTAATTGGTGAAAAGTAGGCAAACCAAATCAAGGCTTAAGCTTTATTCAACTAATTTATATTTTCACTTGGAATTTTTTAAATTATTTGAAATTGATAATTCTTGTCAAAGCCCCTATAATTAAAATAATCATTGAAAATAACAATTATTGACTAAAAAGCAAATCCTGCTAAAGGTAGTTGCAAGGGGGGATGTTAGAAATGAACACGTGACTCTTTTCTAGATCCAATAATATTATGATTATAAAGTATCTTGATGGTCCCAGTCCCAATTCTTTAGACATAAAACCTTTTGGCCTGTGGACTTTGAGTTTTCAGCAAAATATGCCTGAAATGGGCCTCAATAAGGAATTGATCCAATTTGAAGAAGACCCCTGCTATAAAGAATTCTGTACAAAATGCGTTTAAGGAGTCTACAATGTTGCAAATTCAAAAAGGGTGATAATAAGTACGACTTATAAAAACAAGATAACGTGGTGACCCACTAACTAAATATTATTCTGTCAAAGTGAATAGGTTAAGTTAAATTAATGATACATGTCGCTAAAGCCCAAACACAGGGAGTCTATGACGTTGTTGCCATAAGAGATTGAGCTGTGTTTTTCGGTTAAGCCTCCCTGATGGTTTAGAGGTATCACATGTAAGTCTTTAAATTTAATCAGCTCTCGTGTTAAGGTTGACACTAGTCTAAGGTGAAAGTCAGATTATTTCCAAGAGATAAATGCCTTTGGCCCTTTCTGAGACTTACCAGCACGAAACCAGATCAAAGCAGGGTTTATTTTAGCTGAGCACACATTTCCTGAGTGCCGCGTATGTGCAGGCCCCGAGCTGAACGCTGCAGAGCGTGTGGACGGGTGAGACTCACTCTCTGCTCTTACAACTGAGGGAGACAAGACATGTACATGAATAACTGCTATACAGCAAGATTGGAGAAATCCCGTAATAAGGTTACAAAGAAAACCCACAGAGGTGGAGATGAGGAATAAGAACTCAGTGGAGAACTGACAACTGAAGGTTGAGCTATATGAGGAACACATGTTGAGTGAAGCAAATGGCATGAGCATGTGTCAGGAGATTACAGGGTGTTCGTCTGGCTCGCATGAATGTCAACTGTGCAACGCAGTACCAAATGGCATTGAAAAATTAGACTGGGTCCGTACCAAGGAAGAGCATTGACTGTTAGGGCAAAGAGTTTATACTTGACTCATTAGCCACTGGGGAACCCTTGGGTGTTGTTGAGGGGGTTACCCGTTACAGTGCTCTCAGCTGTAAAGACAGAACCAAAATTCCAACAAACAGTTGTTTAAACAATAAAGATATACGCACCTGACAAGAAATCTGGAATTAAATAATTCTGAGCTGATTAATTCCACAGCTCAGCCTCTCTTGATTATCCCCTTAAGGTCACGACATGATTGCCACAACTTATAATTATCATGTCTTTCCGAAATCACATTCAAAGACAAGAAGAGGGCAGAAGGGCTTCCCCTTGGGCATATGTCTCTTTTTATCAGGGAGATAAATTTACAGAAGCTCCTAGTATTTGTCTTGATAACTATAGGCTGAAATGGTTTACACGTTCTCCCCCAAATCACTGGAAAGAGGAATGGGATTACCAATTTTGGTTTAGGCCAACATAGTTATCCCCTGGGTCTGAGATCTTCCCTGAGTACATTGCAGCCCACACCTGCACAGACCATGTGTTTTCTTAGAGTGGAAGAGGAGAGAGCAGGTATTGAGTGGGCAGCCAAGCTTGTGTCTGCCACAGGGTGAATGTCCATCAGAACTGCTTTTTTGACCCATGAATCTAGAAGTGATCAACAAGAAGCATTGGACTGGACAAGAATGGAGGGTTAGGGAGCTAGCACATCAACTGAGGCTCTGGATTACCTGCAGTGACTTCCAGCAGTGACACTGAAAATATGATGTCCCATGGATAGAGTCTAGACTCAAAGTTTCCAAACTCATACTGGACAAGAGAGGGCCAGTTCTTTCTCCGGTTCTCCAGAGCAGTTCTATTTTTAGCTGATTACTTCCTGGACTTGCATCAAATGATTACTTAGAGTGTCGGATGGATAATGAAAATATTTGAAACCCACTGGTCTACAGAAGGGAGAAGGATAGTGGCATCAAAGACAACCCTAAAGTTTTAAGGCTTCATGACTGGGACAATAAAGAAAGGAAGAGGGGCGAAGGAGCTAGTTTGGGGGCAGGGAGGAGAGAGGTGTTCAGAATTGACTGGATGTTGAATTTGAGGTGCTGAGAGCCATCCACATGGTTGCAAATTATCAGCACTTAGAAATGCAGATCTAGAATAGTCTCCTCAGAGCCAAGAAAGAGGCAGGAACCACAGGAGTTTCATGTGTAACAGAAAGGTCAAGGAGGATAGGATCAAAAATGGATGCTAAATTTAGGGATTAATAGTTGGCCTTTGCAAACATTCGTAGAAGAAAATAATGGACAGAAGATATTTCCTTGGGATAAAGGAACAAGTGAATGGAACGGAAGTTAAGATGCCGTGTCGCCATGTCTAATGACTCTTCAAAAATTTTGGCATGGAAGCCAAGGCTGGCAAATCTAAAGTTAGGCAATGTATACACTAGACATCTTACCTAAAGCAACACATTGAAAAGCAGTTAATGGCTCAAGCTGGATTTATAACATTTCAATGACAGGCTTGAAGTCATTAGTGGTATCTGCTTCTGCTTCAGCACAAGCAAGAAAAAAGAGAAAGGTTTTGCTATAATTTGCACAAAATGGCTCTTCTCTACTAAACCCAGGTCTGTCTTGTGCCAATAGACAGTGGACATGGGAGGGATGGGCATGGGTTTCAGAACACTGAATGCATAGTTAGGCTTTTCCAGAAATTTGGATTTGCGGGCCAGGAGCATGCCCAGCCCTGGGATGTTGGATGATGGAGGCAGGCAGGAGAGCCACAACTGTCCCGGCTATCCAAGACCTGGGCAGAAGGTCCCACAGCAGCCCCTCTAAAGTACTGCCTTGTTGTTAAGAATGTGGGTTCTGGAGTTAGACTGCCGGGGTTCCAGTCTCAGCTCTGCCTCTCATCTGTGGGGAGGCTGGAGTAATTACTTACTTCTTTGGGCCATTCGCAGTTGTCATCTTTGTTGTCAATGCTGATGCTGTCTCTGAGTGTGCTCCCATCAGGAAGCCGGAGCTTACTCACGCCCCACACTGGGCTGTTTCTGTGGCTGTTCCACTAATGACCTGGCACCCACTTTTCCACAGATGTCCCCAAAGAGCAGCGGCTGCAGGCAGTGCAGGCGGCCATCCTGCTGCTGGCGGATGAGAGCAGGGAAGTCCTGCAGACGCTGCTGTGCTTCCTGCACGACGTGGTCAACCTGGTGGAAGAGAACCAGATGACGCCCATGAACCTGGCGGTGTGTCTGGCCCCCTCCCTCTTTCATCTCAACTTAGTGAAGAAAGAAAGCTCCCCCAGGTGGGTTTTTCTCAGCAACAGTGGTGATCCTAAACCAGGTATTGCCCACAATTCACTGAAACAATTTCTCACACTGTGTTTCAACTTGAGGATTTGTTACCATTTAATTTATAATCAGAAAATGTTTTGAAGCGACTTAGTTCTTAGGTCTCAGATTCACAGAATTATCACAGTAGCATTGAACAATGTCTGTTGTGATCCAGAAAGCCTGAGTTTTTTTTTGTTTTGTGTGTGTGAGTGGGAAGGAGGAAAAAAGTACACGAAGTAGTATTTTACAATCTTTCGTTTTGAAAGGCTAGAGTTAAGGGTCACTTACGGCAGCTTGCAGTGAAGTGGTTCCAAACTTTGGAAAAATAGATTAACGTCTCCCCCAACAGTTGTTCCTGCCCTCGTATTTTGCCAAGGTTCTTCATTAGGAACTGTCAGACTCTTAGCCTGACTCAGAATATTTACGATGTGTGCTCACCGTTTTTGTTTGGAAATGAGAAGCCCTGGGATGTGGGTAGGAAGAGATAACCAAGGGGATGAGCTCTGTGCTGTGAAAGGCTCTGGAGTTTGGGGTCTGTTCAGGACTCTCCCCTTCAATTACAGAGTCATACAGAAGAAATACGCCACCGGGAAGCCAGATCAAAAGGACCTCAATGAGAATCTGGCAGCTGCTCAGGGGCTGGCCCATATGATCATGGAATGTGACAGACTCTTTGAGGTGAGCAAAGACTTGAAGCGAACTTCCTTATAGCTCTTGGAACGAGATAAGACGCTCGGAATGGTTGCTGCATTTATGGATTATATCTGTTTGTTCCTGAATTTACAGTGACAATACACTCTACAGCTCTGGTCTTTGCCGCCAAGAAGTGTGAGGAGCTAGCTCTCTAGCCCAGGCTCTGACAGTTAAAGCCACTCCGGCCCACCCTGATGGTGGTTTTCAGGAAAACAGTTACCTCACCTTCAGGTGCCAAGTTCAAAGCCAGCCAGCCAATTATGTTATATTTGATTTTACCTCAGGACTTGATTAGGTTCAGCATCTGTGTGTGTGTGTGTGTGTGTGTGTGTGTGTGTGTGTGCACGCGCGCGCGCATGCGTGCATGTGTGTGTGTGATATTAGCAATCCCTGACAGTTTATGAATATAGCCATAGATATGTCAAAGAAGTAAGTGAACTAGACTTCTGGCATACTTTTTCTGGTAAAATTGGCATTGTAAATGGGAAAAGTGTGCTTAACAGGTAAAGCTATTTCTAAATCATGCTGATATTTCCCTTAAGTGTATGTGCTTTAAGTTTCCTGAGCCCACATTTTGCCAAACCAAATAAAAATATGTTAAAAGGAAAATGGAAAGAATGAAAGGGAAGTCATTGCAATGTTTTGAATAATAAATATAGCTTGAGAAACATTCTTGTATTTCCTGACTTTAGGGAGCTCCCCCAGCCCCCAGCCTTGCTACTGATCTTAGAAAAACATCTCTTGTGCCTCGGCACTCGGCCCATCGCCCATCCCGTCGTTTTTGGTGAAATGACTGCTAGCTCTCACTGTTAGTCTCAGCGTGTCTCTAGCTCACTGTGTTGGTCTTTCATGCGTCCGTCGGTTCAGGTCCCACATGAGTTGGTAGCCCAGTCTCATAACTCGTATGTGGAAGCTGAGATCCATGCTCCAACTCTGGAAGACCTGGGGACCCAGCTGGAAGAGAGCGGGGCGACCTTCCACACTTACCTGGAGCATCTCGTCCAGGGCCTCCAGAAGGAAGCCAAGGAGAAGTTCAAAGGCTGGGTCACGTGTTCCAGCACAGACAATACAGATCTTGCTTTCAAAAAGGTAATCTCAGGGGTTGGAAAAAATTACTCCCAAAGAGCCATGTCTAATAACCAGGGATTTATTTTGCTTTAAAAATGGCCACTGTGTCCATGGGGCTTGGCACACACATGAACAAGTTAAAGACCCTCTTCAGAGACTACTGGCAACCCTGCTGCACATAAACAGAGTGCAGACTGTGGAGCCAGACTGCTAGATCCCAATCCTGTCTCTGTCCCTTAGCTGTGTGATGTTGGACAGGTCACATGCCTCTCTGTGTCTCTGTTTTCTCATTTGCATAATAGACGTAATAATAGTACCACTGTCAGAGGAGGGCTCTGTAAAAATCAAATGAGTTAGAATGGTGCGTGACACACAATAAGCACTGGGTGTGTTGGTGACTATTATTTTTATTATCATTCTTCTTCTTTTTTTTTTTTTTGGTGAGGAAGGTTGGCCCTGAGTTAACGTCTGTTGCCAGTATTCCTCATTTTCCTTGCGGAAGAGTGGCCCTGAGTTAACATCTGTGCCCACCTCCCTCCATTTTGTGTGTGGGATGCTGCCAAAGCAGGGCTTGATGAGTGATGCTGGTCCACACCCGGGATCAGGACTGGTGAACCCGGACCACTGAAGCGGAGAACGCTGAACATTATTATCATTATTTTAAGCTTAAGTGTTGACATTTCAAAATTTTAAACCTGAGGTACGCAGAATCACACTTTCAGTCACGCACTCGGTGATTTTGTTGGACACTCAGGGAAGTATTGTAGGTTCTTCTTGGAGTTGGTTGACCTCTTCAGCCTTTGATGGTGTCTTTCCCAAGGTGGGAGACGGGAATCCGCTGAAGCTGTGGAAGGCTGCCGTGGAGGTGGAAGCGCCCCCCTCGGTGGTTTTGAATCGTGTGCTGAGAGAGCGCCACCTGTGGGATGAGGATTTTGTGCAGTGGAAGGTTGTGGAAACCCTGGACAAGCAAACAGAAATCTATCAGTACGTGTTGAACAGCATGGCCCCCCACCCTTCCAGAGACTTCGTGGTTCTCAGGTAAGCCTGACTTCTGGGGTTTAAGATATTCTGTTCCAAAAGCAGATTAAGAGCTGCAGATTTAAGTGTTTCACGGAGTTCTACCACCTAAATTCAGCCTCCGCTGGGAACACTAAGCCGGCCCTCACTTCCCTCAGTGAAAACTGACTTTGCTGTATTTATGCCCGACTTCCTGCTTCTTTCACCCAGTTTATAGCTCCGCCGGGCTCTCTTATGGCCCCTTTCATTATGGAGCGTATGGTTTATTAGGCCATAAATATTGTTCATTTCCTCAGAACAGAGTCCCAAGAATAGCTGCTGTTTGTCCAGTTGCGCTTTCTGCCAAATTATGCAAATTGAATGTAACTGGCTTTTCTCCTGATTTTGCCTTTCTCCCCTCTGGGAAAGCAAGTCTTCAGTTTGTATAACTCTTAAGACTGGCGTGTGTGTGACTTCCAAATTCATCTGTATAACTTCAGATGTTCATAACTCATGATCGTGCACAGAAACCTTGGCACAGCCCTGAAGGTCCAGCTATGCTGAGACACTTGGATGTCCAGTAAGATTTCAGGGCCTGACAAGGCTTGCGAGTCTCATGTCTACTGTTGAAATATTGCTTCTGGTAGATTTATGGGTTGAGTTCTGGACCCGTGCTCTCTGGCTTTGGAATGGCATTCTGAACCAATAATAGGAAGTTTGCACAGGAGAGCTATGCACATGGGCTGGTGAGTCATTATTGGATCAGAAAGAACAGGGATTGAGGCTGTTAACAGACCCAAATAAAATATAATTAAATCAATATATCCTTTTTTATTGATAAGTGATGGCCAACACTGTCTCTTCTCATAGATTAGCAGTGTAAAAGGAATCCCTAGTGAAATTCCCAAATGTATATTTAAAACAGTTTCTTTATGAAACTAATCTTGGTGGCAAACTAAAGGTTACTTTTCACATGGGCTATTTATGCCCTTGGAATTCGTCCTTGGGACCTTGAATTTTAAATATATGTGTCTATCTTAGCAACCTCGGGATCCTGGGGGAGAAGGTGGGCAGTTATAAGAGTGGCTTATTACCACAGTTATTGGGACATTAGTCATCTCATGGAAGTTAGGCTTCACCCCTTCATTCTTGCAAGTGGCCAATTGAATAGTTCTTCTAGGATGGCAGCCATGGGGCTGGAGCCATGCCATAGCCTGCCTTGTCCCTCCCCTTAGAGGAGGCTCAGGGCCAGAGTCTGTGCGTGGAACCTTCTCCTTCCATCCATCCAGCAATCCCACCAGCCTGCTATGTCTTAGTATACGATTCCACCACTCCCTTGTTCCAGGCAGCGTTGGAGGTTGCAGGGACCCTGCAGTGCACACAGCAGACTGCTTTCTCTGGGTTTAGATTGCGTTAGGGAGAGAGAGTCCATAAATGATAAGTAAGGGGCATAGAGTTTCTTACCTAGGTGGATAAGTAAGATAGGGGGATTGGAAGGGGTGGAGTTTTAAATCTAGTGGCCAGAGCAGACTCTCACTGCATTGATATTCGATCCAAGACTTGAAGGACAAGGTGGGTGAACCATGAGGCCCCGAGAGAGAACTCGGCACTCGAGAGAACTAACGATGAGCCAGACATGGATCCCACAACAAGAATTCCTTCTGGTTATGATCCAAGAACAGAGAAAGTGGCAAGTGTGATGAGGAAGTCACAGGGCTGAGAGACCCCCTGTCCTCAGAGCATCTCCACATCCAGGCTGGCACAGACAGCGCCGGTCTCCTTTGGGGATTACCATGTTTACTTCTCGCTTAATCCCCTTGTCTAGGAGCTTCCAGTGACAATCCTGAAGCTTTTTCCATTTTATCCCCACAGCTCTGTACAACTTTCAGTGTTTATTGTTAATCATATCATTGTGTGTGAAAAGAGAATGTTCACACCTTGGAGAAGCTGCTGAGTATTTGTTTAGGGCTTGCTTCTTCCCAAGTTCTTGTCAGGCATGTGGAATAGTCCCTCTTTCTGGTGTGGTAGGGCAGGACAAAGCTATAGATGAGATGACTAAGCAGGGGAATCCGATTTGTGATGTAAATAACTGGGATGTAATAACAAAACCCTTATCCTATGGTAGAATTGGTTGTTACACAGATGCTCTTATGGTTCCTGACTCCCATCTATAGCCTTTTTCCAAGTGGTAGCCCCCTCTATGCTTGAATGCTCCGGGAACAGGGAACTCACTACCTCCTCACACAGCCCATTCCATTTTTGGAGTGTGCACATTGTGAGACAGCTTTTCTCAGTGCTGAACTGAAAGGTGTCTTCATATCTCTCCCTTCTGGAGTCAAGTCAGCTATATTTATTTGTTCTCCCACTCAAGAGCCACTCCAGTATTTGAAGACAGTCCATATGTGTCTAGTTTACTTCAAGCTAAGCATCACCAGTTCATTAAGACTTGAGTGGAGCATCACCTCCTCCAGGAATTCTTGCCCTATCTGCCTCCCCTTCCCTTCCCCCTGAGCCCAGAGCACTCTGTGCCTAACTGTATCATGGCACGCACCATGGTTTTTAGAGTTCTCTTTATATATCTGCCTCTTCTCCTGGGCTGTGTATCGTTGTGTGTGGTGGCTTCTCAGAGCCTGATACATCCATGTGCTGAATAGGTATTTGCTAAATGACTTGAATGAGCGAGTGCTCATTCCAAAACTCTAAGACCAGCCCTTCAATAATGGGCAAGAGCCTCTGCAGCCTCAGTTTGGGGTTCCAAGGCAGATCTGGAAGCTGCAAGGCCATTTCTGGCCTCTGGGTCTGAGGGCTGAGACTTGAACTCAGTTGCTTTGAACTGCCCTGTACAAACTGCACACACACTTATGGAAACCATTAAATTAATCCAAGTAACTAGGCTAGGAATTTGAGTAGGAAAATGTAAGTGTAAACCTCAGCGCTGTGTTCACGGTTTTCTTTCTCTCTTAGCCATAATTCTGATGTGCCGGTTGTTTTGCTACAGGACCTGGAAAACTGATTTGCCCAAAGGAATGTGTACCCTGGTGTCCCTGTCTGTGGAGCATGAGGAAGCCCAGCTCATGGGTGGCGTGCGGGCCATGGTGATGGATTCTCAGTATTTAATAGAACCTTGTGGTTCCGGCAAGTCAAGACTGACCCACATCTGCAGGATAGACCTGAAGTAAGTGTGAACACCAAGGAGAGTGGGCGCCATCTTGGAATCTCAGCTTTAGTGGCACATTGCTGGGACCCTGTTTGTCATCCTGATTTCTTATTTCACTATACTTTTTTCCTCATTGCCATTAACGTGCTTTCATAGATGATTGCTTATGCCACCCTCTCTCTGCTTTCCTCTTCCTCACCTTTCCTAAAATTCTGGCATTCTCCTGCAGCTCTTGGCTCTCCTTCATTTTCAGTTTTGTCCCCACTTATATTTCTGTGCTTCTCATCCAGAGCAGCCATAAGCACTAGAGCCTGGCACACAGTATGTGCTCAGTAAGTGCAAGTCTCCTTCTCTTGTGTTTCTTTTGGGTGTCCTTTTTTGATGCTCCCTCCACTTGCCCTCCTTTGAGAAGAAACTAATTCAAATCTAACCCCTCCAAAGCATTCATGATGCCAAACTGAGTTCTTGGTCTGGGTAGATACGCACTGAGCTTTCTCAGTAATTTCTAGAGTTAAGTCAGAATCTTTTCCGAGGAGAAAAATCTTTTATCATTTTAAAGCACCCAATGAATACTGAAAAGATAGACTGAATGCTTGGCTGGAAAGGCATTTTCAAGGCAGCTGATGACAGAATGAGGCTCTCAGATCCTGGAGGCAGCAGCCCTGAGTTGCACCAAGTGTACTTACAGTCAGGGCACAAGAACAGCCCTGGCTACTGTGACAAATTGTTGTGATTTCAAAAAAGATGTTCCCACTTCCTTTCTGATTTTTGTCCCCACAGAGGTCACTCCCCAGAATGGTACAATAAAGGCTTTGGACATCTGTGTGCGGCAGAAGTTGCCAGGATTAGAAACTCTTTTCAGCCCCTCATTGCTGAAGGTCCGGAAACTAAAATCTGAGTTTTCCCCAGTGTGACATCAAACTCAGGGAAGAGGAAGCAAAAGCAAATGCCTGTGGGAGAGAATGTGCTCGTGAGAAAGCAGGAGAGAGAGAGAGAAACTGATTGACATGGTTAACTTTTAAAAATGGAAACACTGGGAAGTCAGAATGTTGAAGATGCAAGGATTTCTGAGAACTTTCCTAGCCTTCCTGGAGATGGCTATAGCCCTACTAATATAATATTTTTAAAAATCAGAACATTTATCTATATTACTTAAAATTAAATGGATTATTCCTTATGCATTGCCTAATTTGCTATTTAAAGGCTTCTAAGAAGCGTATTCTTAACTGTAAATAAATGTATGTATAGCATATGTACATATGTGTGTATATCTCTATCTTTACTGTATATATGTAAAAATCAGTTTTATATATAATGGCGTATTTTGAAAAGGAACACGTCTGACTCAGTGAGTCCCTTCCTCACGTGGTTCTTTCCAGGTTGCTCTGGGTCCCATCTCCCCACTGTCCAGTAAGCTGAGCAGAATCTGCTGCTAACACCCAGGTGTGAAAATGTGTGGTCTGTCCATCTGCCCTGAGGTTTAACCAAAGGTTAGCTAACCAAAGGAAAACAACATTAAAAGGTTCTTATGTGTTGTCTGTTTGTGTTCTTCGAAAACTGAAGTGGAGTGTTGGATAAAGTGAGGAAAAGAATACTTACTCCTCTTTAAAGCAAAGAAATGGGTGAAAGTTGTTACCAAATTTAAGGCTGGGTGACCAGTTGCCACTGGGCCTGGCCAGATGCAGTTTCAGTGAAATGTCAGATACCCACGGACCACTGGAGTCAGCGTGAGAGACTGAACCAGAACCTAGATGTCCCTGCTGATCAGAGCTGAATGTAATCGCCCGTGCTCGTTCACAGCCAAAGGGAGCCTGTGCGGTTTATGAAGTTTTCATAGATACATTTCATAATGTTCTTAAGTATCATTCTGTTTGACCAGTGGCCTTTTTTGGTCACAGTTAATTGGCGTTTTCCTACCAAGATATCGCACTGAATTTAACTCTGGACACCAGACAAAGGGAGATGATGGTCATTCAAGAGCCCCAGACCGTTACAGCTTCAGGGAATTCTTATTTTGCTACATGTGATGTTCTTAAGAGATAATGTATTAAAGTTTTGCAATCTGAAAGACAGGGTTTTAAGCTAACATTAGACCAAAACTATGTTCTTCAATTAGTTTTAGAAAATATAAACAGGTTTGTTAATTCCACATTTCTTCATTAGCTGGTCAAGCTACCTATGCGTTTGGCCCAACCTTATTTATTATTGTATAGACTAAGCAAATTGACTCTCCTTAGCCAATTGCTAGTGGATTTGTTTATTATAATTCAACAACTGTAGAGAGAAAGATAATTTATTGTGTTTGGTTTCAGAGAGAGAGATTTTCTTTGGTAATCCGTGAGAGAGTGGTATCATAATTTAGCAAGTGGGGTTGGAGGAAAAAAAGAAAAATTTAAATGAGTGTTTTCCTTTTCTTTTTTTGTATTGTATGCATTCATATAATGTTTTCTCTTATCAGCAATGTGCAATTCTTTTTTTGAGAGGAATAAAAATGCTATATATGAGTTCTGTATAGTGCAAGGAGAATCATACTCTTTGAATTATGACCTAGGAATTTTTCATTTTCTGGCCTACCTAAGAAGGTGGAGCAAAGCCATAATTTTCCATTTGGGTAGTGCTCTGTGAGCGAAAAAATTCACTTCTGCCATACGTCTTAAATTTAACCATATATGCTGGGTTACTTTAATATGCATAGACATATGCATAGTGAAGTTGAATCTAGTTTCACACTGGTCCTACTCCAGAGATGGGAGCCTGTGTGTTTGGAGAATTAGACAGGCACGCAAGGATGGATGGTATTGTATCACCAAATTTAACGTGCACATGAATCGCCTGGAGATCTTGTTCAAATGCAGACCCTGATTCAGGCAGGCTGGGTGGGCCTGAGAGTCTGCATTTGTAACAGGCCCCGGGGATGCCCATGCTGCTGGCGGGAAGATCCCACTCTGAGAAGCCAGGGTCTACAGCAGAGTTAAAACAGAATAAAAACGAATAGGATTGTATTTCTGACTCCTCTTCTCTTCAAATTACCTGACTTTTTTATTTTTATGCACATGCTAATCACATCGCTGCTGCATAACAACACAGTGCATCTAAAAAAAAGAAAAAAGAGGAAAAAGATGCATCAAGCTTATTTGTCAAATACTGCAGTATTTTATTCATTGTTATCTTGCCAATGGAAATAAAATATGATATTGCATTTAAATATTATATTTATACCTCATGTATATTTTTACCTCAATTGTTGATATCAATCATCAATTGTAAATAAATAATTGCCAAAGCAAATAAATTTATATACATTAAATATTTCCTATTTTCTATAAAATATATGTTGCTTTTCATGCTTCATCCTATAAGTGGAAAACCTGGTTCATGAGGAAAATTTCTCTCTAAGATAGGTTGCCATGTGCTGGACTCCTCCATACTGTAGTCAATGTCACTCCCAAATATAAGATGCTATTATCAACAGACATTTCTTAAGTCTGGGTACCTTAACCTATGTCTAAGGCATTAAAGTGATGGGTAGGGATTTTTGTTTTTCTTCAGATTTTGCTTAAATCTGGAAGTTATAAAAACACTTTTATAGTATTTTTATAGAAGATTCAGTGAACTCTATGAATGAAATTTCATTTTCATTAACTAGACAAGAAATTGAGACTTGAGGAAGTGACTTCTGGCTGCATCACTGGACCGTGAAGAGTAGCGACATCTGACTCTGAGCCTCTTGCCTGCATTGTACTTGTTCTGTGCTTAACTTCTCAAAGATAAAGGGAGCTCCTAGTTAGACAGGCAGGAGCTTCCAGACTTTCTCAGCAATAGGCTTCAAAAGCCACGGCAGCCCAAAAGACCATATGCCCCCGTAAAAGTGATCCAAATGGTGCTCTCTGCTCATCTCCCTCATGCTTTCTCTCAATACTGGCAAGTTTTGCTTTCATAGGCAAAGGAGGAATTTCAATTGCCCCTTTTCTTCTTCTAGATGAAAGAAGAGAACATGGTGGTCGTTCTAGCAGGCATGGGCTGCAAATGTTGTCCTGGGACCCTGGGTCATACGAATGCAAACTTGATTCTGAGCATACTTCATGAAATTCTTAGGTGTGAAACTGTTCTGTTTCTGTCTTTTGGTATTTGGCCACAGAAAAACTGGTCATATGACCTCTTAGAAAGAAAATGTAAATTCCACTTCCCCAGCCAAGTGGAATAACACACACTGACACAAAAGCAAAATCTATGTATGCTGACTACACAAGCAGCAAAGAAATCAATACCTGAAGTGACGGCATTGTGATGTTGCAAAGCCATGAAGTGTGAATGTGTAACTTTTGACTTGCCTTAGGCAGACCACCTCCTTTGTCGACTGTTTCAAAGATAGCGTTTGCTTCGCTTCTAATGATCCCACCCAGCAGGCCACCTAGATACCTCCTGACCCACGTCCTTCTTGTGCGCAGCTGAGGTTCGAAATCCCAAGTAATACTGTTCCTCTGAAGCAAGATTTCCAGCATACGACATCTGTTGCTGGAGTGCACAGTCGTTGAACGTTGAACAGGAGTGGAGCGCTTGGCAAGCAGAGGTGCTGATGTGAAGTAGACACGGTGCGGAGCAGAAATAGTGAGATACAGTCTGTTCTAATAATCTGAGGCAGTTCCGCTCTATAAAGGCACTGTGAACGCTGAATTAGCAAGCACTGAGCCACTGCTCCTAGCAGAGTAGAGTTGGCATCTTACAAGCCTCTGGTCACAATGTTTTTGTCAACCCATCAATATATGACCATATTTTTTGTGTGTTTCTGTTTGAAGAAGGCTTGCTTACATATTTCTGACAAATAATTGATTATGAGCAGTATTTCTTTATAATAAAACATCAGTCGAGTAGGGCTTAATATTTTCCTGACCCTGCGTAATGTGACTGCAATTTCTTTGGTTTTCGGCCTCACAATAATTTTTTTTTTAATTAGACTTTTTTATGAGTCATCATCTCATGAATCCACAAACTGAGCCGCTTCCCGTCTTTCCCATGGCTTCATCATACTCTATCGGTGTTACGCTCTCACTTTCCAGAGCAGCCCCACTTACAGATCAGTGAATTTCCTCTTCCTTTTTTCTGGATGTACCACATTGGCCATTCATTGAACTCACAGCCAACAGCACTAAAGCTCCTGCCTGAAAGAAGCTTATCTAACACGTATTTTCTCTGTGAGGCACGTCCCAGCCTTCTCATGCGCAGGAACACTAGAGAGTGCTTCAGCAGTACGCCTGGGGGAAGGTTTAAACTACAAAATCACCAGCAAAAAGCACAAAAAGGGGGAAAACATGAACTAAATAGATCATGAAAAGGATCCTTGTGTACAGTAGGAGAGCTGAAACTGGATGGCAGAGCATCACATTGCTTCGTCTCAACTGGGAATGAGCATGCACACCAGTGACTCCAATTTTGCGCCACTCTGCACATGGCTGAAAATGACCAGGAAAGCACAGAGCGTATTGATTTGGGGATTACAAGTAAATTTTAGTGAGTAGGTGAATTTGCAAATACAGAATCTGCAAATAAGTGGGATGGATGTATATACAATACCCAGTGGTTTGTTGTTAGTGCCCTGGAATCTATTCCAACTCCTAGCTACCCTGTGTACAGCAGAACAGAACCCTGCCTGGTCTTTTTCTGTCGTTCTCTCACTTTCCGGTGCCATATCAGATGATGCTTCACTGCTATTCATAGGGTTTTCATGGCCAATTTTTCCGGAAGTGGGTGGCCAGGTCCTTCTTTCTAGTCTGTCTTAGTCTGGAAGCTCTGCTGAAACCTGTCCACCATGGGTGACCCTGCTGGTATTTGAAATCCCAGAGGCATAGCTTTTAGCATCACAGCACATGCAGCCACCACAGTATGACAATGGACTGACTGGTGGTGTGGTTCCCTGACTGGGAAAGGAACCTGGGCTACAGCAATAAATCTTAAATCTTAAAAATCTTAAACACTAGACCACCAACCCAGTGGTAGGTTGCGTAAAGTTGGTGAAGCCCAAGGGCAGAGGTGACTCCCAGCAACGTCAGAGGAGTGATAGAGAGATCAGCACGTGGAAAACTCAGAGTGTCAAAGGAAAGGAAGGGCTTGGGCAGCAGAGGGGAGTTGGGTGTGGCTACAGCAGAGAGTCAGAGGGCACAAAGTGTGGGAGTGAGTGGGGCAGGAGAGAAAACTAGAGGGTCGTAAGCCAGGAGTACTTAAGCTGCAGCAGGGACTTTGAATTTTCTCTGGTGAGCAAATTAGAGCCAAAAGCAGAGAAGTGAAATCATATTTGTTTTGATGGCAGTGACTTAAAATGGGCTAAAGCAGAATTGGCGTATTACTAATGGGCCCACACGTGCAGGAACAGGGGTGTGGAGTTACTCCCATCGTTGCAGATGTTCCTCCCCCCTTTGGTTTCTACGTAGACAGAAATTAAATGATTGATAGCTCTGGCCTTCCTGAGCTGATACTAATCCATGATAACCTACCTTTCTTTTCATTCTAGAATGTGTCACTTTGCCTTATTCCCTGTCTGATATGGAATATTTAGATCAATTTAGTACCCATCTGATCAACCTCAGAGAAGACGCTTTCAAACCAAAATAATACCCTTAAAGCAAAGACCCAGGGAGCACCAGATCAGTCTGGCGCTACATGATCCAAAGATGCCCAGAGCAAATAAGATGAGGTTACTGGTGAGATCTCCCAGGACAAACTCCAAATCAGCCGGAGAGGCTGGATTGGCAGCTCACTTCTCCCTCCTTCCCTGCTTGTCACAGGAGGTCGGCTGGCCCTGGTTATAAGAGAGCATCTGAAGATGAAGACATCTTCGATTTGTATAAGCTAAGCTTGAGCTGTCATTTTGCCTCCCCCCACAACTCTAGCATGGCCAAGACATGGAACTAAGACCCCTCCCACAGGCCATACTGGAATCTGTCCTTTTCTGAATAGCTCAGGACCCCATGGGCTAAGGAAATGCTTCAGCATGGTAACAGATCTAGAATGACTAGAGGCTCAACTGAGGGTAGATTAGCACAATGAAGGGCAGAATGATGGTGGGGAATCCAATTACAAGGCTGTTGTAACAGTCCGGGTAGAGAATATTTGTGGAGAGTGCTATCATCATGTAATGGGACAAATATTGCTACAATGGCAATCATACTAAAATGTATAAATGTATCAAAGTAACACGTTACACGCCTTAAATTTACATGGTTATATATTAAAGATATTCAATAAAAAAAGATACTGGAAAATATTTGTGGGGAAAACAGTAAGTAGATTTTTAAAGATATTTCTGAGCCAGAATTAATAAGATAAGTATTAAATTAATAAGTATTAAATGGTTGTGGAAGGGTGGGGAAATAGAATTAGCTTAAAATGACTGGGTTTTCTAGCTTGGGAAAACTTAAAACTTCTGTGTGGTGAGCTCTTTAACTGGTGGAAAAGGAAGAAGAGCAGATGTCAGATGGGGAGCAGGTCAGGGAGGGAACCATGTAGGGAAGGGGCCTATCAGTTGAGCTCTGATCATTTAGTGCTTGCAAAGGCTGTGAACCCTCCAGGTGGAGATGCCCAGCAGCCAGTTGGACATACAGGTCTGAAACTCAAGAGGGTGACCAGTGCTCAAAGCTAGTAGTATGCCTCTTAGTTCACTTACTTAGTTCATGTGGTTCCTGCCTCTCCTGACCATACACTTAGTAGTATCATGATACCAAACCAGTGTGTCACATCTCTATGACTTTGCATTGACCTTCTCCCCATCTTGTTGGTCATGTGGTAGCTTATTTGTTCCTCAAAACCCTATTTGGGCATCATTTCCTTCCTGGACTTTCCTGACCATACCTCTCAAATCCACCTGTTTCTTTACATATTTGTCTCAATGCATGAATCGCATCTCATTTATTATTTGGAAATAAATATAACTCCCCCACTAGACTATAAGCTCTTGAGGGCACAGCCCATGTCTTACTTAGCTCTGAAACTCCATCTCATAGGTCGCTTTTGCTACATCATTCTACAAGTATTTGTTAAAATGAACTGGCACGTGACACTGGGCATAAAGATGATAGAAGCCGTAGAAATGGAAGCCATAATCGAGGGACACTGTGTAGAGTATTCCACAGCTAATGAAATAACTTACATTTTGTGTTTTGACGACTTGAACTCTCCAATAGTACAAAGAACAAAGAATTAGCTTGTCTTCCAAGAAGTTAAATGTGACTATTTCCAAAATTAGCAAATGCTGAACATCTGCTTGCAGCAAATAGGACAGTTTGACTAGTCCATTC